GAGGAGAGAGAGAGAGAGAGAGAGAGAGAGAGAGAGAGAGAGGGAGAGAGAGAGAGAGAGGAGAGAGAGAGAGAGAGAGAGAGAGAGGAGAGAGAGAGAGAGAGAGACAGAGAGAGAGAGAGAGAGAGAGAGAGAGAGAGAAGAGAGAGAGAGAGGGAGAGATCTCTCTCTCTCTCTCTCTCTCTCTCTCTCTCTCTCTCTGTCTCTGTCTGTCTGTCTCTCTCTCTGTCTCTCTCTCTCTCTCTCTCTCTCTCTCTCTCTCTCTCTCTCTCTCTCTCTCTCTCTCTCTCTCTCCCTCTCTCTCTCTCTCTCTCTGTCTCTCTCTCTCTCTCTGTCTCTCTCTCTCCCTCTGTCTCTCTCTCCCTCTCCCTCTCCCTCCCTCTCTCTCTCTCCAACAACAGTTTCCCGTCTAAAAATCTGTTTTCTGCATTATTCGCTTGTTTGTTACGCACAAGTCTACCGTTGTTTACAGCCTGTCGGACGCTGTTTTTTTTCCTTTTACTTACTTCCGAAAAGAAAACATAATTTCTGCCGTTCAATACTGAACAAATGTAAACTTTTTAAAATTATGCAAAACTGCAAAACGCTGTGTCTCTAAAACCTCTGTAACTTTGCTCTGTTTCACTTCAGCAGCATCAGGTAACGTTCATGTGTTGATTCATGGTCTTCTTTCATTTTTGATCTACTGCAGAATATTTTTATAAAATCCAGGCCAGGAAATTCTCCTTCATGTTTTTCTGTGTTTTATCCTCAGTTACTTTGACACAAAGGCCTCTGCTGTGATGCTCACACCTTTGATAAAGTCTCACAAGTGTCAGCTTTCTTTTTATAGATATAAAAATATGGAAATGTAGTGATGCATGATCTGAATTATAATATTTCTGACTGTCTGAGGCAAAATTTCCCCGACTCAAATCGAATTGAATGGAATCGTGGATCGAATCGATTCTAGAAATCAGTGACGATACCCAGCCTAGTATGCAGTACAACAGCCGAGGACGCCTTCATGCAGGTGTCAAGGGTTACATCTGAAGCTTTATTTATCATTTATCAGCTGTAATGTTTCTGCAGGGTCTGGAAACAAACAACCCACGCATTTGAGGTAAAGGACAACATTTTATTCCTTAATGAAATGATGCATGCAGAAAGTGGAAACCTACCAAAGTGAGCAATGCTCTGACGCTAACGTGAGCTACAAACAAATGTAGACTCGGTAACTAAAATACTTTGCAATTCAAACAAAGCCATTTCAGATCAATTCCAACCCAACAGTGTGTGACAAACATCACTGTTACTAACTGCTAGGTTAGCAGTGTTCATGCTTAGCACAGTCTCCCTCCCAAAGGTTAAAACAGCCAGTCTGTAAATGTGACTGGACACATTTTAATGTAACAGCTAATGTAAACGTGCTTTTGTGGGCCACAAACCTTTGACAGCAGGTCACTACGTGCACTGACGGCAGCACGGCTTCAGGTCTCGTCACACATCGTATTCCTCTGTGCCACAGTGAGGGCGAGTCACGTCGTTGCACTGGCTGACGCGCTCGTTCACTACCGAGAGCGCGCTGCAGTTTGTCCCCTGGTACAGTAGTGATACACACATTAATCTGCTGTCTGCACATCTCACTGATCAAACTAATGCAGCTTCATCCACAGCAGCACAGGTAAAGGTAGCACAGTGCTGAGCCTTTGAACAACATGTGCTCTTAACCCGGGTGTAGGGCTGTGCGATATGACCAAAATCCCATATCACAACCATATATATCACAAAATAGTGAATTTGCTGTAAATTCTGTGAATCTCGGCCGACTCGACGTGCGTGAAGTGTTTTCAGCTGGGCGTCGTGTACCTGCAGTCGAGTGTTTAGACCGATGCATTAAACAGCCCGCAGAGTGTGGAGTCTAAGGTTTATTTGGAGCACCTGACGGCTCTTTTTGCTTCTCGTCCGTAAACTCTCTCCGTACTCTGTCAGGGGATTCTTGTGTAGGTGTTACGGCCCTGGCCATAATGTGTCGTGGTGGCTGTTTTTTGTTCTGCCTGTCTGTGTCTTTAAGAGTCTCTGCAGGTCCCTGATTGGAGACGCTGACGGCTGCTGATTGGTCCCCTGATCATGTGGCTGCTTTGAAAATCTGTCACCAGCAGCTGACAGCAGCCAGTGTTGCCAACTCGCTAAATATAGCGACAGGTCGCTATATTTAGCGAGTTTTCAGACCCCTTAGCGACATTTTTTCTAAAAAGCAACTAGCGACAAATCTGGCGACTTTTTCTGGTGTTACTGGAGACTTATTTATGACGACTTTTTGACGTGAAAACGCGTATCGCTCTTTTTCTCAACAAGCAGCGGTGCTGCCGTGGACACCTCACCCGTGCCAAAGCGCTCACAGGCGGAGGATAGTCCTCCCCCGCTGCTATCAGGGCAGGAGACGTTCACACCTGTGCATCCAAACGGCAAATGAATCGCGTATGAGCGAAGCCGCTGCTCCGCACTGACTGTAACGCAGTCAGTTCTTCTTTTACTGTTGTGCTGTTTTGTGGATCACAAGGTTTAAAACTACTTAAAAACACACACACACACACAGTAAGTCCACCAGAGCGCCTGTTTCGGGTCACTTTTGCTGGTCCAAGCCCGGGTAAAGGAGCAGGGTTGGAATTGTGACATTAAAAAACAATAATTGCTAAAAGAAATTTAATTTGTAGTTCTAAATAAACTCTAAATGCATTTAGGACGTTTTTTGCTCACTTTATGTCTCTTCCACGATGTTATTTCTCTCTCCAACAACGTAGGTTACAATTACATTAGCATGACCAATTATGCAAATTAGGCGATGACATCATTTAGCGACTTCTAGCGACTTTTAGGACAGCCAATAGCGATTTTCCTTACTGAGGAGTTGGCAACACTGACAGCAGCAGCAGACCCATCCTTGGCCTCCAGACCCTGTGTTACTCGCGTGTGTGCTCCTGAGGATTGCTTTGCTTCTGTATGTAGTGTGTAGTTTAGAGTCACGTGTAAATAGTCACTGAAGCCAAAGGGTGAGCTGCCTTGTTATTTTCTGTATTATTTTCTCCTGCTTATTCAGTTGGGGGTAGCATTTGTCTTTGGTTTGTTCTTTTTATCGCGTAGGGTTCAGGTAGCACCCCCTTGACTGGTTTTGTTTGTTATTTTGGCCTTTGTTCAGCCCGGAGTCACGCTTCAGTTTAGGCACAATAAACCACTTTCACATCTAAATCGGCTGTGGTGTGGTTTTGGGGACCAGGGCGGGGTCACTCTTCTTTCAGCTTATGCTACGTTCCTGTACCCCTCGACAGGGGCGTAACAGTAGGTGGTAGAAGAGGTTTGTCATGTTTGAGTCTGAGACCAGTTTGCACCATGATTGTTCTGGTCCGTGTCAGACTCTTCATAACCAAACCACGTCCGTGCTACAGAGGTGGCCCCTCGGTTACCAATAAGGTCCTCGATTTGTTTGGACTGGTCCTTCTGTTTGTCATCATTTCAGTTTATTTTGAAAAATCTCAACAGGATCGTAAGCCTTATTGTGAAAGGTTTATGTGGAAAATAAACAAGTGGACGGCGGAGCCTCATGCTGGGTTTACCGTCGTTGTTGCTAACGACAACATGTAAAAACAGGCGCTTGTCCGTCCGTAGTGTGGTTATATTAAATATAAGAGAAACAGAGAACGTTAAGAAATGAATGTAGCCACTACAGCGACCATCAGGACCATGATATTGCTGTAAACAGTTTATTGTGTGACACCATGAAACAAACGACAGCGTAAAATGAAACGACGTTTTTATATCGCCATCAGAGACATAGCGTCCTGTCTTACAGCCCTGCCTGGGTGCTGATTTTGGTTCTACGACTGGAGATGTAACTTCAACCTTTTCTATTCAGCCTCCTGAAAATGTTTCAAGCATCTTTTTGTAAACTACGATTTGTTTTATCATAAAGTTATTATTTTAGACGCCATGAAACAAAATGCTATGTTGACGTGTGTTTTTACAAATCATACATCTATAACACCACAGCTTCTGGCTTACAGACGACGCCTGCACGAGGGCATACACAAACCAGCAGAGCGAGAACTAGGACACTGGACCTGACCAATCAGAGGAGGCCTGGCTGCCTGCTTTTACAGAAACACACACAGATGTGGAAGCAAACAGAGCTTCACTCTGCTTTACAGCTCTGCTGTAACGGCTAGCTGACACACTGCCCTGATTCCAATGTTGAGTATCATGTGGGAGGAGTGTAAATTTCACTCGTGTAAAAACAACGACTGTAGTCGCCACAGATTTACTTTCCATTCTGTCCAGCACAAAGCGGCCTTCCAGTGTCTCTGCACCTTTCACACAAATGCAGCTCATTTACACTCCCAGGTCTCTGCGTTGTAAATGTCAGCGTGGCTCTTTTGTTGGTGTGTTTTCAGGTTTCTTATCCAGGCAAATCCCCTGCCACACACCCCACAGGTGTACGGTTTCTCCCCAGTGTGGACTCTCTGGTGTTTTCTCAGGTTCCCGGCCTCTGAGAACATCTTCCCGCATGTGGAGCAGCTGAAAGGCTTCTCCCCTGTGTGGACACGCTGGTGTATCTCCACTTTCTTGGGCCGGTTAAAAGCTTTGCCGCAGTAGCTGCAGGCAAACAGTCTTTCCCTGCCAGTGCGCGGGAACGCTTTGCTGCCGTCAGTGAAGGGCCGGGGCAAGGAAAACACGTTGTCATAGCGACTCCAGCCATTAACACCGGAAGAAGTTGATGGCAAATCGACGGCCGCCATCGAGTACGAACACGACGGACTCGTTCCTTCCACGTCAACATTTGAGGGCTCGTCAAAAAACTCCCCGACCAACGAGTGACCGGTTTTATCGATGTCACACAAGACGTCAAACTTTGAGTCGCTGCTGCCATCGTCGACGTACCGGTGTGGGATCGCCACTTCCTGCAGCGAGTCTCTGCCTTCAACAGAAGCAGTGAGTTCACACTTAAGAGGAGAGGAGCCACTGACCTCCACTCCTCTGCTGCCGGTAAGCTTCGTCCTGCACGCCTGGCTCTGCGACTGGGATCGAGTAGACACGGACTGGGCGTCCTGGTCCTCGGGGCCAGGCATCTGACCTTCAGCTCCATGAGGGACACACTCCATCAGCCCTTCAAACAGAGAAAGAAAACTCAGTTTACCATTACACTCAATTAGTAGAGCACTATTCTATAATGCTAACTGCTATTTAAGTACTGGCTGTAACACGTGTGGATACGCAGCTCTGCACACTCTCAGGGAAAACAGGGAGACGACTTTCAGAGTCACAGATGTAGAACGAGGCACAACAACGTTTCTCCAAAGTCTCTAACAGATACCGTTGGCTGCTGCCGTCACAGAGTCGCCACGGAAGCTTTCTGTCGGATGGCCTTCCTCACCGGGTCAAAGAAAGAACCAGCAATCATTCCCTTTGTGAGTGACTCCATTAACCACCACACTGTGAAACCTCCTCTGAGGTCTCTAATATGTTAAATAGATTCTTGTATGAAAATATTTTAGCAGATCTGCACAGAGTCTGACTGGCAGCATATTGATTGTTGGGCGGTCACACCGCCGATCGTTACTGAAGCAGCGTGGGCTCAAACCTGACAGAGGAGCCTGGAGAACCCACATCGATATCTGAGCTTACAGCCTAAGACCAGAAACTACTGCTGTTTGAGCTCTCTGCAGTTTCACAACACGACACATCAAATCTCAGAAATAAGAGACGACTTTCTTACCACGACGGTCTAAGCAGGATATAAAATATGCAAGGAAATGTCCACCGACTCTCACATGTCAACTTTACCTGCCCCTGCTCATCATCACACTCGGTGTGGGAGGAGTCACAGCTGTTATGAAGCAACATGGCTGTAACCGCGTGTCCTGTTTGGCTTTGCATTGTTTTAATGTTTTTAATATACGAGCTGTTCTACAGTGTTTTAACTCTTTCATGGTCAAACATGTTTCATATCCAAACAAACAGCTTTAGAGAATATGAAACCCTGCTGTGCTCCGTTCTACCTGCAGCACTCATGTCCTGAAATATGTGAACCTCTCTGTTGTAGAAATTACAAAAACTCCTCAATGCATCGTTTTTGCTTGGATGCATTTGATGCAGAGCGCAGCTTGTAAGCACGCTGCTTAGAGCTCCAGTTTACATTTGTGCCTAAAAGCAGACCTGCTGTAGGAGCGTACAACAACACGCAACCGCACAGCAAACCTGAGAGCAGCCACACGCTCGCTCTGTGTGAGGCTAACACGCACACTCTGATCTGATGCAGCAGATCTGACTCTGTCGCCGCTCTTTGTTCCTCCTCTTCATGTAAAACTCCTCCAGGAGGACAGAGTACCGTCTTCATGTCTGAGTTTAGGCTGTACGAGTACAGTCAGAGCTACAAATGTGTACGATGTGAGCCTACCTACTCTACAAATGTAAAGCTTTGCCTTCTGAGGACTCGAGTGCTTCAATCCAAACACAAATGTGACCAAGAAACTATTTTATTGACACCTACATCCTAACCTGAATACTGTCTGTGCACACCAGCGTCTAAACCTACAGGTCACACCTGTCACTCACTAACACACTTATTTACTCATTTAGGACGTTTTCTTTAAAAAGTATCATTTTAATGACACATAAAAGGGTTGAGTTGTACAGATGTTGCACAGATGTTGTATCCAGTTAAATGACAGTGGTGATTTGTTCACCATGACAGACCTGTGTGCCGTCTCTTTGGGTGGGTTAGTATTGTTATTATCTGATCACAGTCACTCTGAGTGCTCTCCCAGTGGAATCCCCACACGCTCAGCTGTGTCTGTGTTGGGACCACTCACAGCATTAACCACACATGCTTTATGTCCACGGTCAACTTCAGAATTACCAACTAACCTAACATGCATGTGTGTGGACTGTGGGAGGAGCAAACCCACAGAAAAAAGCCGAGCCTTGTTCCTCTGAGGCGACGCCTCCAACCACGTGCGGTTTAAACTACGACCGATTTGATCGAAGGTGTTAAGATTTTTAAACTGCAGCACGGCATGTTGCGTGGAAATGTCCCAGTGTCAGTACTCGTCCACTCAGCAGCCTTAGTGTTTCTGTCTGTACTCACCATCATCTCCTATAAGTGACGTACTCTGCTCCGCTTCATCTCGAGACGTGGCTGCCTGCACCTTCTCCTCTTTCACCAGCACTGCCTCCGGCTCCACCAGCTCCACATCTGGAGACTGCACAGCAACAGGGAATCGTCTCTCAGTCAGCCAATAGCAGCTTCACACAGCAGCGTGCACATACGCTAACCTGTGATGATGTGCCTACCTTACTGTGCATGCTTTCAGACAGGATCAGTTCACCGGTTGCGTCTCCGCTGGGCCACAGAAGCACCTCCCTCTGCTGGTCAAACACGTCACCTACACGACAGAAAAGCAGCTGTCTTCAAATGCCGATGTTATTCTCATGTTTGGCTCACATATTACACTATTGTAAGTGAACGCTAACACGGCTCTGTGTCAGTGTAAATAGATCCCGCCCCTCCGTCTCTATAGGGCAGTAATGGCAGAGCCCACCTGTGTATTTTAACCATGATGTGGGTGTGACGGTGTGTTTGACAGGCACAAGTTACTTATTTTACTGTGTTCAGCTGTATCAGCATTTTACCAGAGAAACTTTATTTTATTCAATATTTCAATGTTACAGTTGAAGTATTTTGAGAACATGCATTCATAATATCCATCTTCCTGTTTCCCCATCATCCCTGTTATTAACCTCTGTCTCTCTTCCACAGCATGTCTTTATCCTGTCGCAGCAGATGGCTCCGCCCCTCCCTGAGCCTGGTTCTGTTGGAGGTTTCTTCCTGTTTAAAGGGAGTTTTTCCTTCCCACTGTCGCCAAAGTGCTGCTCATAGGGGGTCACATGATTGTTGGGTTTTTCTCTGCATCTACTGTACAATATAAAGCTCTTTGAGGCGACTGTTGTTGTGATTTGGCACTGTGTAAATAAAACTGAATTAGAAAACAAACAAAAAAAAGAGTCTTATTATGTAATACTATGTTTTTTTGCTAAACATTTGATTCAGTTTGATTTTGTCTAAAATGTGATGTGTACATTGCTGGGGATTTTTGTGCACGTGCCATGCATTCACACTCAAACATCAGCTGGCGTTCTGCATAAATCACGTGTTTGATTATTCCTGCCATTTAAACTTCGTACACTTCCTGATCCAAGTGAAAGTGTTGAGCTGTTCCTCTCCATCTCAAACACACTTTCAGATGCTAACCTGCAGCACGGCCAACACTATGTGATTAATAAAGTGTCACATTGTGATATAATGGCATTTACATTCTCTAATGCACAGAACGATGACACAAACGCGTCAGCCTCAGAGGCAGATTTATTTCAAAGGATCTACGTCAACGTTCTCCTGACGGCACTTCGCATGACACGCACAACCGTGGAAACAACAAAGCCCTGTTTAACCACCTGAGGCAAAAAGACAGCATGGAGTGCAGGCTATGAAGCTGGAGATACTAGCAGCCACTAATGTGCCACCCAAATGTAAATAAAGGACTCCACCGAGCGTCACTCGAGCGACGTGGTTACTCAAGTGTTTTGCCAAGTATTTGATTCAAATGGTGGAAACCAGAGACTTTAAACAGCTGGTTAGGAAGCTTAAAAAGGTTACATCATGGTTGGTTTATGTTGAGCAGTCATTTTACAGAGCAAAGAAATTTGACCAACTGATAGCTCATGGAGAGGGGCTGGGATTCAGTTTGCACTTCTTCCACATCGATTTCAAACTGGATCAGGACGGGGGCAGAGATATACATCGTTTACGTGATCAAAACAGCAACCAAGCGAGCAACCCAGGTAGAATCGGAGCGGTCAGCCTCCGTTTCTACCTGAAGTCTCTGTGCTGGTTTCCATCTTTGCTCTGTGCTCAGACCTAAACACTAAGACAAAGATCACATGTGTGTCCTCATTAGGACAGAGGTTCGTGTTGGTGTCACTTGGGACCAAAGCTCTGTGTAGCACCAACAGATTACAACACACATCTATGCCAGGCACTTCAGGGGGACTCTAGAGTCCTCTGCTGTCATATCCATGTAACGAGGGCTGGCCAAATGACCGTCTGTGTGACCATCTTCTCGTCTCCTCTGCTGTTTTTAGTCTCTTCCCACCTGCACCTCTTTTTCAACTGATTCAGGGCTCTAGAGTGCGACCAAATTTCTCAAACAAAAAATCCTAGGTCACACAGGTGAGACCAGCCAGTCCCCACAACACTGAAAGTCTCCATGCGGTCAACAACAGACACACATTATGCCCATATCATGGTCTAACTAGAGCTGGGCGATATGAGATTTTTTCATATCACGATATGTTTTTTTCATTTCAGCCGATAACGATATCTATCACGATATAAGCCAAATAACTATATTTGTAAGATTTAAATGTGCCGTTGCTCACAAGTAAAATGTGAAATAATCAGCAGCTTGTTTTTATTTAAATATTTATTTCCCATAATAAGTTCAACAGGGTAGATGTACTTAAGGAACACGAGACTTTTTCAGATAAATAAAGGCAAATATTGCAAACTACACAAAAGGCAGCCGCTAAAGCGTTTAAGTTTCAAAATAGAACAAACGAAACAGACTAAACTGTCAATTCCACTTAGAAACAAAATATTAATTCTAAAAATAAATCTTAGTTTGTTTTACAGAAGAACAGACAAAACCGACTAACTTTTGTCAATATCAAATAAACTGAGAACTAAAAGGAAATTCTCAATCTCTCCTTGTTGTATAGCTGAGCTTTTCAAACAGTTTTAACAGTTACTTTAGTCTGACAAAAGCCGAATGACGAATTAGCGCTTCCAGTCAGAGACTGAGGCTACGTCCACACGTACACGGGTATTTTTGAAAACGGAGATTTTCCGTTTTCGTTTTAAAAAATAATCCCGTCCACACATAAAGGCAGAAATGAAGGAAAACGCTGCTATGAACATGCCAAAGCAGCAGGTGGCGCTAGATTCCTAACCGTGCAGAAATGTTGGCCAATCAGAAGTCTAGAAGCCTCGGTGGGAAAAAGTAAACAAAGCTGGGGCATAGAAGCAGAACCGAGTCGTATGTGTGGAGGGACAGTAACTGTGTGTAAATGTAAGCATTTAAACACTGCAGAGAGTAGAATTAACAGTAACAGTATTGTAGAAATTCATTTCACCGAAACAATAACGTGGCGCACAGTGTGACGCATGCACCAGTTTATTGTATTTCCAGACTTGCTTTCGGCACATTTACAGTGCACGCTACTCTGTTTTTTGTCAGACTTGAAATAGCCGAAATACCTTCACACTACGGAACTTCTATGGCTCTTCCGTTTGACAATCTCTCCGGCGTTGGAACCATCATGTTTTCTCTTCGGTCACGCTCGGTTGATTTTTCTAGTCGGCGCACTCATTTCCTCCATTACCCGCTGGCTGCTTCCCAAACAAACACACGTGCGGCTTGGCACTTGTGCTGTACGTAACAAGTCACGCGACGTGACGCTGCGGCTGTGATTGGTTCGGCTCTGCGCTACTTAATTTGGATTGGCTGACCTTTTTTTATTTTTTATTTATTTTTTTTATTTTAAGAGGACAAGAGCGGCGAGGTCTATCGCGATAGCTTAATTTCTCTATCGAGTAAAAGTTATATCGCGATACATATCGTTATCGTTCTATCGCCCAGCTCTAGGTCTAACCAATCAAAGATAGTCTCTGATTGGCCATGGTCCAGATATTCCTGTAGGCCTATGTGTGTGTGTACGTCTGAAAGTGCAGGCGGATACAGAGAGGTGAGCAGCCTGGGCCTGACAGCAGCAGATGTAGCTGTGGGTAATGAGAAAAGATGAAAAAAAGAAAAAGGCCAAATCACAGGAGTTGGCCATCTGAGGGCCATGTGACTGCAATGGAGGACAGTCCATAAGATATCAAGCTGTGCCGACACCGAGATGTTCAGTTTGAAGCCCGTGAGACACTTTGAGGTCCTTTTAGATTTTCTTTTCATTGAATGTCTTGAGATGTTTTGAGGTTAAATTTCAGCTCAGTGAAGCGCTTTAAGCACTTTGTCAGTAACTTGTGTTTCTTGTAGAACTGAGCTCCAAATAAAGAACTTTGTGTTGACAACATTGTTCGTTAATCATTTACAAATCAATATTGTCTGTATGGACAGCAATTTTTTTAAGTCAACATGTAAAACTGCGGTGTTAAGTGATGCAGTTGCACCTATCTTCTGTCCTGGTGCACCTAAGAAAAACCGTTAGGCGCACCAGTGCAACCGTGGGAAGCCTTAGTCTAGAGCCCTGTGATGTGTCTGAAATCACAGCGCAGGGTGACAAACATGAACCAAGATCGCGTTTGTCCCAAAGCTCATTGTCACAAGGTACAAATAAGCTGAAAACAGCCGATCAGAAAAGAAGATGGGGTTATATGTAAATGCAGATTTGATGTAGGAGGCTTCTACATGTGCTCTGTAATGTACCGGTGTAACAGCTGATGGGCGGAGATGTTCATTTCATCGAGTCTCGGTGAAGAGGTTTCTGAGTTTGCATGAATGAACCAGAGATGCTCGTGTCTCCACTTTGTGCCCTCTCTGCACACCGGAAAAACGAGCTAGGCACACTGTAGCCCCGGCTCTATCCAGGGCCCAGACTTTTTACAACATAATAAACGTGTGAGTGAAGAAAGCCTGGTTTCAGACTGGACTCTTCTTACTGCTCGCATTATTCGTGCTGACCGTACCGGCGGGGGTGGAGGGCTCTCGGGGCCTGTCGCTGCCGTTTATCTGCACCCTCGGCCGGCTGCTGTTCAGGGCACTCTCCCGGAGCCTCCTCTCGGCATTTCCCCGGGCCATCTTCAGCTCCAGCAGGTGTAGTTTCCTCTTCAGGGCCTTGTTCTCTCTCTGGCACTGAGACATCTGCAACCTCACCACCGCGTAGTCGTCGTCAACCAGCTTACAGATTTCCGCCACCGCTGCGTTTGCTAGGACCTCCATGATGGAGGCCAGCTGGGTCTGGAAGGCCAGGCGGTTGGACATGGCTGTTCGCCGCTGGCTGGCTGCTCTGTCTTTGCTCTTTCACTGCTCGAGTAGGACTAAGAAACTACTGGAGGTCGTTCACACCATTGCAGCACAGCTAGCAGGTAAACACTAGCACCTCACCGCTAAAGTGCATCTCCTGTTTGACGGTGGCTCACAGCCAGTTTGCCGTAACAGCGCCACCCTCTGTTCCGGAGGATGTAATGCTGCTCGTAGCTCGGTGGCACTAAAGCTCCAACTTGTTCAGATGGATGTTTGTCACCAGATCACCTGATTTAGCTACGACTCTGAATTTGTCCAATTCTGTAACAGCGGCTAAAATAACAGAGAAACATCAGACTGTGGCTGGATAACAATATCTCAATATCTTTTATAATCTCAGTTATGAGTGTACTGTGTGACACAAGTTCGTTTCATCTGGCTGTGCTGATAGTTTTAAAACCAACTTGTCCAGCCACGCATAAAGATACAGCAGCAACCTTCCTGTTAGTAAGTGATCTCTGCCTCCTGAGCTACAGCCACACCTACTGCTAAGCACAACACCTTCTGCTGTCATGTTTTTATCTATTAAATTATAAAAAAATAACGATAACTGGATGTGTATGCAAATGTAATCATTACAATTGTGGAACACTGAGACACGCACAAAGATCTAACTGCTGTCGTCTCGTACATAAAACAGAAAGTCTCCACAGAGAGGATGTGCAGGTAAACGGTGGTTCGGGTCAAGTCAGTGTAGCCACCTCTGAAGTGACAGCTCTGGAACATACAAATGACAAAGTGACAGCACACAGCAGAAATGATGAGCACAGCATGGCGAGGTTCACTGCAAACCTCCTACATATTTAATGACATCAACACTGAAACATGTCATGAAAGAATACTCGAAGGCAAAGTATTTGTTTTAGCTGCTACAGCCGATTACACCCAGACACCAACACACACTAACACGACTCTGATATATATGTTTCACTTTACATCTTTTTACAGTCCTGTGATGTGTTGAAATGTGGACAATGAATGTCTGACATTAAAAGATTCATCTTCAGGCCTGGACCTGGAAAAAGCTTCTCCAGTCAGGCTCTGCATCCAAAAATAATAATACCAATAATCCAAATGTAATGCCCTCTCTTCACAACAGCTTATTACATTTCCATCAATTCAATATGAATGTGGAGTGCACACACATAAATGTAGTCAGCACAACGAGGAGGTGCGAGCTTGGGCAACAAGATGTGCTTCAACAAAGTGCCAACACGTCAGAGTCACTGCACAGGTCTGAGAAGGCCACTCGTCCACGATACTGTCACGATGACGCTGATACAGAGAGCATGGAATCAAACCGCAACTCCAGTTTTTCCCTTCTAACAAAGGGGAACCTTTAAAGTGCTTCAACGGAAGAGTCTGGAAGTTTTTTACAACAACATTACTCAGTTTGTTATAGCTTTTGTAATCGTGCAGCAACATGGACTCCTAGCCGCTGCACAGCTGTGGTATCCTAGCCTTCCTGCAGCAGCCCGCCCCTCGCAGCTCCTCCCATCACACCAGGACACGCGTCTTCTTCATATCAGCTAAAATAAGATGAAACCCACTGTCCCGCTACAACGTGCCTTCTATGTCCACTTTTCCTTTCGACTGGTCACCTTATCCGGGCCATAAAGACCTCTGATTGGAACTCTGGACTTTGGAAAGCAGAGCCCAGAAAAGGACCGTCAAAGAGATCGAGGCGATTATCCCAACAGGCCTGAGGAAAGCTGCAGCCCATCCACGGGACGAGAGTCAGCGCCGTGAATGCTGCCAGTCCCGACTCTGTGAATCACACTCGTGGTCAGCGATCAATGTTCATGACAATTTGCATATTAATGTTTATGAAACGGAGCTAGTGGTGCTCGTGTCAGCTGTGCTGTGTGCACGGTGGGAAAGCTGCAGCCTGACCCGGATGGGCCGTGAAACGTTCCTCCCAAACAAAGCGCAGCATCCACACAAACACAGACAACGTTCTGGGATTTCCCTTCTTGGTTCTTGAGACATAACTAAGGTACTGTTACTGTGCCACATGTAGCACACTCTCTGTGTGCAGGATTGACTAATGTTCATTATGTTAATAATACATTCAAACATGAATTTGGCATATTGAGAGTCCCATTAATGACCGATGTTCTGATGTTAGACTAAAGAAAGTGCTCTGTGTTTGCAAACTTTATCAACCAATATTTAATGGATGGAATAAAGTCCACTCTTCTAAATAGAGCGATCACCTTCAACAGATGTGCAGATGCTGTTTGCCATCACTGCTTTATGTACATAGCACCAGGTAACAACAGTTAGGTGGAGAGTCTGCGCAGCAAAAGTCAGACTTTCTGTTGTCATTGCTACTTACAGCTGCTGACAGCATGAAATACAACATGCTGGAATCAGCAGCTGTGTCGCTGCCACTACACTGCACTGTCAGCTTCCAGCTTCATCTAGTCATGAACACCGATGTTTGATAAAAGCATGAGCCACACTGGTACACAGTCATGCTCCTTGGGCCACGAGATTAAAATAGAGGTTCTGCCCTTTTATTTGCTCTCGACATCGCGGTTTTATTAAGGAGGGGTTTTCGTCACAGCTCATTCGAACGAGTTCTCAGAGTTTATTGTTAGACTCAGAGTCTAGTCTCAGAGTCTAGTCTCAGAGTCTAGTCTCAGAGTCTAGTCTCAGAGTCTAGTCTCAGAGTCTAGTCTCAGAGTCTAGTCTCAGAGTCTAGTCTCAGTCTAGTCTCAGAGTCTAGTCTCAGAGTCTAGTCTCAGAGTCTAGTCTCAGAGTCTAGTCTCAGAGTCTAGTCTCAGAGTCTAGTCTCAGAGTCTAGTCTCAGAGTCTAGTCTCAGGTCTAGTCTCAGAGTCTAGTCTCAGAGTCTAGTCTCAGAGTCTAGTCTCAGAGTCTAGTCTCAGAGTCTAGTCTCAGAGTCTAGTCTCAAGTAGAGTCTAGTCTCAGTCTAGTCTCAGAGTCTAGTCTCAGAGTCTAGTCTCAGAGTCTAGTCTCAGAGTCTAGTCTCAGAGTCTAGTCTCAGAGTCTAGTCTCAGAGTCTAGTCTCAGAGTCTAGTCTCAGAGTCTAGTCTCAGAGTCTAGTCTCAGTCTAGTCTCAGAGTCTAGTCTCAGAGTCTAGTCTCAGAGTCTAGTCTCAGAGTCTAGTCTCAGAGTCTAGTCTCAGAGTCTAGTCTCAGAGTCTAGTCTCAGAGTCTAGTCTCAGTCTAGTCTCAGAGTCTAGTCTCAGAGTCTAGTCTCAGAGTCTAGTCTCAGAGTCTAGTCTCAGAGTCTAGTCTCAGAGTCTAGTCTCAGAGTCTAGTCTCAGAGTCTAGTCTCAGTCTAGTCTCAGAGTCTAGTCTCAGTCTAGTCTCAGAGTCTAGTCTCAGAGTCTAGTCTCAGAGTCTAGTCTCAGAGTCTAGTCTCAGAGTCTAGTCTCAGAGTCTAGTCTCAGAGTCTAGTCTCAGAGTCTAGTCTCAGAGTCTAGTCTCAGAGTCTAGTCTCAGAGTCTAGTCTCAGAGTCTAGTCTCAGAGTCTAGTCTCAGAGTCTAGTCTCAGAGTCTAGTCTCAGAGTCTAGTCTCAGAGTCTAGTCTCAGAGTCTAGTCTCAGAGTCTAGTCTCAGAGTCTAGTCTCAGAGTCTATCACAAACTCACCTGTGTGACCGTGTCTCACTGTCAAACCACCAATATGAAGACAGTGTGGGGTAGACCAACCGTAGAACTGATTTAGGACAAACATTTACAAACATTTACTCTGAACGTCATCATGACATCACCTCATCTACGCTCAAGCTACCATCTTTAAATGTTCACCATTCAGAGTCCAGAGTGTATCAGATGCTGCTACAGCATTCATGCTACAGGCCACACTGAGACTGTTGCCGGTGTCTGCGAACGCTACACATCTGGCTGAAGGACTGGCCGCAGCGCGAGCAGCTGTAGGGTTTCTCCTGCGTGTGAACTGTACGGTGCCTCTTCAGATGGCTCGATGAGATGAAACTCTTCCCGCACAGCGTGCATCGATAACGCCTCTCACCGGTGTGGATGAGGAGGTGAACCCGCAGGTTGTTGGGCTGGGCAAAACCCTTCCCACAGTGAGGGCAAGTGTAAGGTCTTTCCCCGGTGTGCACCCGCTGGTGCAACTCCAGGCCGGCCGTGCTGGGGAACACACGTCCGCACACAGCGCACGCCACCGGCTCTTTTGCGGCGGCGGTGCTGCTCCTGTAAGGCCGCCTCTGGCTGCTGGCAGTGCCAGTGGGAGCTGTCGGAGGAGGGGGAGGGGGCGGAGGTGGAGGGGGTGCAGCTACTACGGCGGCAGCAGCAGCAGCCATGTCGAAGGAGGCAGCAAAAGCAGCCATCTCGTGAGCGCCGCCTGTAAAGAGCATAGTCGGGGGGCCGTCGAGACTTTCTCCCCCTCCCTGTGAGGGGAAGGAGGCAGAAGGGTGCCCGCTGTCCGTGTTCCCCAAACCCAGCTGTGCTACTGCATAGGCTGCTCCCAAATGGCTGACACGCTCCTGCATCCAGGCCAGATCCAGGCCCAGGCTGTTGAGGCGGTCGCAGCTCGACTCATCAGAGGCTATAGTGGCCGACAGCTGAGAGGGATGAAGGTCATCTTCTGTGAGCTCATCTGTCTGGACCTCTGGCTTCAGAGCCATATCAGGTAGGCTCCCCGAAGGGTCCCTGCGAACCGCTTCGGAGGCATGGACCCCCTCGGTGTTGCCTACGGGCTTAGCAGCCTTACGTTTTGCTCGAGGCCTGCAGGTCAGGTCCATCGTGGCATCAGCAGGAGAGGAGGACAGCTGTGATGTGGAGGATGTGAGGCTGCTGACGCTGGTGTCGAGGACAGTGTCAGCAGGGGGGCTTTCCTCGCTGGGCTCCAAAGCTGTAGAAGGACAGACAGTAACACTGAAACCATGTGAGCAGCCAACAAAACACTGATGTAACTGTGTGGGGGCCACACTCACCTGCAGAGAGGCCACACTCCGCCCTTATGTTAACCTCCACCTTCAGATCCAAGTTGCAGTCATCTCTCTCCTCTTTTTCCTGCTTCACCAGTGTCAACATCTTGGCTTCCTCCTGCTGAGAAAAGACAAACGAGCCCCACAGTTTCAGCTACTGCATCAATCATTTCTGTCCCACACAGCAGCCAAGACGCTGCGGATGCTGAAGGAAGACATTCAAGACTTTTTGCATCCAAAATAGAAATAACTGCACGTGTGCACACTGTGAGTGGAACCAGCTTCCAGTTTGGATTCAGGAGACAGACACTATCTCTACTTTCAAGATTAGGCTTCAAACTTTCCTTTTTGCTAAAGCATATAGTTAGGGCTGGACCAGGTGACCCTGAATCCTCCCTTAGTTATGCTGCAATAGACGTAGGCTGCCGGGGGATTCCCATGATGCACTGGGTGTTTCTTCTTCACTCACTATGTGTTAACAGACCTCTCTGCACTGAATCCTTAGTTGTTATCCATCTCTGTCTCTCTTCCACAGCATGTCTTTATCCTGTCTTCCTCCACTCACCCCTAACTGGTCTCAGGTGGCGGCTCCACCCTGAGCCTGGTTCTGTTGGAGGTTTCTTCCTGTTAAAAGGGAGTTTTTCCTTCCCACTGTCGCCAAAGTGCTGCTCATTGTTGTGATTTCTCTGTATCATTGTAGAGTCGACCTCACAGTATAAAGCACCTTGAGGTGACTGTTGCTGTGATTTGGAGCTGTATAAATAAAGCTGAATTTGAACCCAAACCATGAACTTTTTCTAATTCAGTTTATGTTGTATTCCTAACTCCAACTGTTCCTTTTTAGGGCCTAAACCAATAGAACCCTTTAAAGATCCTGAACCTAACAAAGTAATGTTTTTAGAGTGAATAACATATGAAACATATCTGAAACATATGTTAGAGGGTGGACTCAGACACATCTGAGTCTAACCTTAGGATGTGGACCTTTTCTTTGTCACACGGTCACAGATCAACACTGACGAAAATAATGTTGGATTCTTGTATTAACAAAAACAGATTGATCTTGGATTAGAGGTTCACAAAGTGCAGAGAGCTGAGGTTATATAGCGTGCCAGCCTAGTGCACGATTCATCTTTACCTTTGAAACTGGATGAAAGGGTTTGCCTTCAGAAAGAGCCAGAGGAGGGGGTGCCAGGGGCTGATGGTCATCAGGTCCTGAAAAATAACACAGGACATTGAACATGTGCTCCCCCACGTGTTTCAGCTGTGTGTCACGCAGCCACATTATCAGACAGACACGCCACGCATCCCCACGTCTGATGTCTATGATATGCCGTCATATTTGACGCACGGCGAGCTAAACCGTGTGGCAGCAGAAACTCGGCACACCTGGCAGTGTTTCCACTCTTCTCCAGTTTTGCTGCGCCTGGGTGAGCAGTGGCTTCCTGTTCTTCTGCTGCTGTAGCACATCTGTTCGATGTGCTGTGCGCTCAGCCCCGCTCTTCTGCATACCTCGGTTGTAACGAGCTCTGATTTGCTCTAACATCAACTACACCTTTTCACCCGGAGAACTCACTGGATTATCTGCCTTTTGCTGAACTCCACAGGTGGCTGTGCAGGAAGAGCCCAGCAGATCAGCAGGTGCATGTTACACCAACCAGCATTTGAGGACACCTGAATCAGGTTTGCTGGGACAAAACATGCGAGCCATCTTTTACCATGCTCTTCATGGGAGACAGGACGAATTTCTCCGACTAGCGCACGGGGCTGGATGCAGCAGTATAATCATTACTGAGCTCACAGCTGGATGGGTGGATGTGCAGGGTGTCCCGCTCCCCTACCTTTGGGCGGCCTAAAATGAGCCGTGTGATGCTCCTCGCGCTGACTCCGTCTCCTCATCCTCCTCTCACAGCTCCGCATCTTCACGTCCATGTCTCGCAGCCTCTGCCGCAGGGCTCGGTTCTCCTTCTCGCTCTTCTCCCGCTCCTGCTCCATCTGAGAGCGCAGCGCCGCGTAACCGTCGTCCACCAGTTTGCAAATTTCGGCTACCGCCGAGTTGGCCAGCATCTCTATGATGGAGGCGATCTGCGCTTGGAAGCCGACGCAGTCCGCCATCGTGGCCCGCGCTGTCGGAGTGCACGGACAGATGCGCGCGGCAGACGCTGCGGTGCACGGGCGTCAGGAGATCCGCGCACTGATGTGTGGCCGAAGACATGCACAGGCTCGGCGTCGGCCTCCTGGGCGCTGTCAGGTGGGAGTCGCCTGCTGATGACGTCAGTTTGTTGTTTAGTATCATGTCGCAGGCTGCCGTCCCACATGTGACAGCATCAGGTCACAAAAATAACCACCTGTGTGTGTGTGTGTGTGTGTGTGTGTGTGTGTGTGTGTGTGTGTGTTAAAGACAGACCTTAATCATCAGGCGTTCTGAGGTCTAAATCCTGACAGGAAGTGTTACCATGGCACTCCTGTGCAAGATGCAGGTGCGCGTGTGCTGTGGAGGGGCTGTGATGGCTCATCACACACACGCGGGTCACCTCTGCAGCGTCTCATGCTGCTACACAAGTCTGCCATCTGTAATCCAGTTTGAGATCCTTCCCAGACGCCTTAACGCCCACTCACCTCATGGGCCATCTAACCTCAGGAAATCACATGATAGGGCGGGGCCAGGTTTCACAGTGGGCTCACCTGAAACCTTGGCTGTATCCCAATTCAGGGTCTGCAGCCTTAAAGGCTGCATTTTAAGGCCGATTATATGGGCTCAAAATGTGGTCATAACAAGGGCGTAGATTGTCATGGACGGAAGGGACGTGTCCCCACCAGTAATTTGATCTCTTCGAGTAAAGAAAAACAAACCCGATAGAAAGAAAAACGATGTGTCAGCGTCTCATTCACCCAGCGGAGCAGAAAGAGTTAAATTACCTCTACTGGAGTCCTACGTCATGTGACAAATATGGCCAATGTGATTGGCTGAGCCTTTCAGGGAGCTCTGTTTAGTTTCAGCAGCGGCAAACCTGCGCTTCCAGGAGGAGAGGAGGACGGCAGCAAAGAGGAAGAAGCTGGGTATAAGAAAGTGTTTTTCAAAGAAACCTGTCAGTCACTTAAAGCCAAGTTCACTCATAAAATGTGTCACAATAACGTTACAGGCTATAGGCCATACATGCCAACACTCCCGATTTTTCCGGGAGAATCCCGAATTTCAGTGCCCCTCCCGAAGGTCTCCCGGAGCCACCATTCTCCCGAATTTCTCCCGATTTTCCACCCGGACAACAAAATTGAAAACCCATATTCCAGATTGGCCCAGCCAATTCCAGTTTCCAACAATGGCTACTACTACTGCAGCTACATAGCTTTAATATTACTCTTATTTCTCTTTCTGGGTCGCAAAATAAACTTAACATATTTTCAGGCGAGAATGTAGCGGAGTAAACTTCAAATATCTGGGCCGGCGTTGTGCCAAAAACTGATCTCCAATGTTTCCGTGTGTTTTTTATGTGTAATATCATATGATGTTAAATAGACTTCTGTGAACAGGTATTACAAAGGGGTTATATATAAAATAAAAAATTACCTGTTCCTCAAGTATCTTTGTAACCGTGTTATTGTACCTACATTATAATCAACCAGCTTCCTTTTGTCCACTTAAAATATGTTTACAGAACTATTTTTGCATTTGTTGCAATTTCAGCTGTCCTCTTGGCCAGATTACTCTTAAGAGAGACATTTTTAAAGTAAACAAGAATTTTTTTAACTGCATAAATAAAGGATACATAAAAGTCACTGCCAAAAACTGACTGAAGGTTCTACCTTGTTACAGGAATGTTGTTTGTTGCTCAAGATGACTTGATATCATTCACGAGGGATACATTTGACATATGTTTCACATATTATAGACCAACAACTTATTTATAGCAGTTTAAATACAAGCAATCAGTTTTTGGCAGGCAATCACAACACCTGGTTCTCAGGTGGACGCAGCCTCTGAATTTGGACACCCCCATCCTGTTTCTGGCCCCGGCCAATAATAACGGTGACATTTAACTTATTTTATCCGATAAATAAACATTGTAAAATTCAAGTTTTGTGTGTGTGTTTGAATGTCTCCCTAATTCTGAGGTCTCAAGGTTGGCAAGTATGTGCCAGGCTTTGGCCCACATCAGTCTAAAATTGTATGTAACCATGAATAACGTGTTGCCATGTCCACCAGGAGAGGCTGGACAGTATAGATGTAAAACCAATATGCCAGCAGTTTATCTCAGTGAGAGGAGCAGGCCTGTGTTTGGCTGCTTCACATAGTGGACATTGAGTTGTTGTGTGGGGCATGTAGTCCATGTCTGTTGCTGTAACAGTAGTTCATGTTTAGAATAAAAGATCGCAGCTCACTGAGTTAATCGGGGCAATAGTGCCTCAAATGTTGCGTCATTTTGCTGAGAGATCTTTTACTTTGTGGTCATCTTAGATGAGTAGTTTTATGGACGAAAACCAGCAGGTCACTGAGTGTTCCCTTAGTGCTGATGTATAACAGATGTTGATGTACTATAACTGAAGTAATGATGTTAAGTCCTTAACGTCATATTCTTTTACTGTCATGACTGTATTTGAAGCTATTTTTATTTTTGTATGATACCTGATTTATATGGAATATGGCTGAAGTAAACTAAAACCTGAAATACTCAGTCATTTGTTTAATAGTAATTGTGTGAACTTAGCCAAAAAAAACCTGCAAGTTACAAGTACGAATTTTGACCCTATTTTTCTTCCCTTCATCTGATTGGTCAATGTCATGTCGATCACAAATGTAACAGTCCAATCAGAGAACAGATGGGTTTGGCTGTCGGAGGGGCGCTTTTTTTGAACTGCAGGTCCTTGAAAGGAATAAATGCCCTTTTACATGCCAACCCAGCGTTTTCCTTCATCACCACCAATGACCGTATAAAAGATGGATGACGTGACAGCGCCCCAAAAATGAAGCCAAAACGTCTCTATCGCCCCCTGGTGTCTGGCTGCAGTATAGGTCATAAACCCCGCCTCCTCTATGTTAGCGGATGGGACTGTGGTCAGACTAAAATAAATTAATTCTCCTACGAGAAACTTTTTCCAAAGATTCTTTCTTTTGTTATCAATAGTTCTCATCACGCTGATTGATGTCCAATGAGTCTCCTCTCCCATAAGTTTGATTCTAATTCCTACCGCGGTGATGGTAAATTGGGGTGAAACGTCATCATAGCAGCTTTGACTGGCAGCTGCAGAAGTGGAGGTGGAGCGGCCGAAGAGTAAACTGTTAAAAGTAAGTACTGAATATTATGTCACTTATTTATGTGCAAATGTTTAATAATGAGGAACATTAAAACATTCCTGTTGGCCACATGTTGGCAAAGTTATTTGCCATTAGCGATGTTTGTACTTTCAGCGTTTACTTGGTTTTAAAGCCTTTAAAATATAATACAATAGTCGACCTTAATCTTACAGATGTGATGATTTATGGATAATTAAAGTCAGTCATATATCCACAAACACAACAAGCTGAAAGTCAGTGATGCTGCTCGGTTTGCAGTCCTGAAATCACGGCACAAGCAGGATTCACTGCACTGTTAATGTTAGCTATGTTATATTGCTGCCTCTGTTCGGTGGTGTCGAGCCAAACGCACTTTAACGTGTGTTTGAACGAGCTGACGGTTCACTCGTTAAGCTGAAAGAAAGATGCTTTAATCACAGCAGTCACACATGTGTCCACTGCACCATCTGGAACTCTTCTTGTTTACACTCGTAATAACACAAACACTAAATCCTGCTTCTCTGGTGCTGTTGTGTAGCAGTGTGTACACCTGAGACTGTCACCTGTCTGTCTGTCCTGCACTCTCTCTCTGTTTCTTTCTCTCTGATTGTGGAATAAAAGTATGAACATGTGTTTATAAGTTACACTTGTGTTTGAATCCTGCAGCTTATCACACATTTGATTTCCATGTGTGACGACTGCAAGTGTCCAGAGTGAGGACAGACTGAGGGACCCACTGCTGCACATCATCTGTGAGGCTTTGCAGCCCTGATGATCCACCAGGACAAACTCAGCAGTGTGTGAGGAAGAGGAGGAGGAAGAGCCAGCAGCAGCTGACAGATGGAGAGAATAGACAGACTGTTCCCTGTTTGTGAAGGACTGCTGAAATATAGAGCGTTATTACATTTATTGCTAATGCAATCATATGGCACACTGACTTCTGAGGAAAGTTTAGATGCACTCATCATCAGAAAGGTTGCCGACCCCTGCTCTGGGGTGAACTGCAGCTCCATGACCTGGAAGACTTGCTGTAATCGATGAAACCATGAATTCTGCTCTCTACCAGAAAGTCCTGAGGCAGAAAGTCTGACCATCGTTCACAGAGTCACCTTTGAACGTGTCAGGAAAACTAAATGAAGGCTGTTTTCTGTCACAGTGGCTGGGTCACCCCGGAGTGTATTAGGAACACCTGGTGATGACGATCTGAAGGCTACACCCTGTCAGTAAATAGCCCATTGGTGTTGAGTCACATACTGGTTCACACACAGTCCACACACTACATCGGTGAAAGACTGGTGCAAAGACAGCTGCACTGCAAAAGAAGCATTATCGCTCCGAACACACCAAGCGAGAGCCAGACCCCTGCTCCTGACTGCCAGGGCCCTCGTAAATGCTGCTCGGACTCGATAAGTTGTCCATCTGCTGCATCTGCGACCACGATGGCTATGTTAGCTGGACCTGGGAGTCCACTGTTTCTATGGCAACAGGAGAGGCGTTGAACCCCACACCTCCGGCTGGCTCATTAAGCTGTTTACACAGCAACGGCTGATGATGTCAGCACTCAGCTCTGCTGAGAGGCGCTCCCTCGTCTCCACCTCCTACCCACGGCCCACCACGTCTGTCAGCGCCACGTGGCAGCAAGCCGACTGCAGCGCCGTCAAGCTTCGCAGCAGAGCTCCACTCTGAGCCATCTTGGAACCTGGTGGAAAACCAGAGGCTGGCTTTGAACTGATTTGGTTGACTGATGCAGTTTTGAGTGTAGAACAGGATGCTGCTCCGTATCTTCAGTCCTGATGTCCTCCTGCCAATCCAGCTGCCCCTGGGAGGGACTGTTTCCCTGGAGTGGAGCCTGAGGAGCCCACAGCAAAGAAACAGGATTAGAAACGGCATTTTTCAGGTTAATACCTGACAAGTTTCTCCTTTTCACCTTCAGTGAGATGCCACAGTGCTTTGTTAACTGATCTGGATACTTTTTTAGTCTCAGCCCTACATTTCCAGTGCGCCGGTACAACGTCTGCAAGTTCTGAACACTCGAACAGTCTCTAGGTTTTATGATAGTTTCATTCAGACACAATATGAACCATAGGATAGGATGTTCCACAGCAGCGTGCATGTTCAGCCAAACTGGCCCAGCTCTCACACAGGCACTAAGACTGAAATCAAGTGTGGAGTTTTTGCCTACAGCTGAGAGTCCTATGAGGAAAAATACACATTATTCTGGGTGTATGTTAGTCTTGAGTGTGTTAGAGCTCAGCCACCCTGGCACTGGATGATACTCTCTCCTGGCTCAGTCCCACACACCGTGCTGCTGAGTACTAACGATGAAGCTTCAGGTACCATCACCTCTCTGGGATCTGTGTTTCCTGACTCTGGTTTTTACCACAATCATTTGTAATGTAATGAATTCTTCAAATATTGGTTTCTTACAGACATCGCGGTGCCACTGGCTGCTCTGTTCGTCTATGCAGTGACCAGGACCGATGGTTAGTCGGTGAACAGCCTTCGTGGGGTTGGCAGCACGTGAAACAATGTAAGTGAGAAACAGATGATACCTTGGACCTGATCCACGTCTTCCTCCGGGATCTGAGAGCTGCTCGTGTTATTCAGACTCCCCTGACCCTGGAAAGAGGAGGGAGGCGTTTAGCTGACACAGAGAAGCCAGGGGGCGCTCACAGAGTGAGGGGGGGTCATGACAAGTTGTGGACGTCAACTGAAGCTGTGGCTGTGACATGAACCGTGCTTTCACAGCACCATCACATCTCATACTTGTATTTGACTCGGTGCAGTCCTAACGGCAGGGCTGTGGGGGACAGTACACCTGCACAGCCCTGGAGCAGTGAAGGAGGAGGAGCTCCTGGAGGAGCGTTTGGTTTTTCTCCACTAAGTCTCGTTTTTGTAGCTGCAGGAATCTGTGCATCTATTTTGCTTACAGGCCAGCTTAAAACAACCCATCCAAGCTAGACCGGCACTAATGCACCGCTCCGGTGCCGACAGCGAGCGTGAGCTCGGCCGAGGACCACAGAGTCCAGAGCGTACGACACAGGAAACGACAAAATACAAGTGTTTGAAAATACAATTTATTAGCAAATTTACATGTCACTATATTCACGAGTACAAAGCAGTGACAATGTTTCTCCCTTCTTTGTTGAACTCATAGCTCAGATTTCATGAATTCATTTCAAAGGTGAAGCGAAGTTTGTACGTTAACAGGGAGATGTTCGTGATGATGTCATGACTTTGGCTCATATCCCAAATGAAAGAAATGAAGGAAACCAAACGAAGGCTTCTTTGCAGCCATCAACTCACACAGCCCGTTACACACAGGGGGCGTGTCAGGAGCTCCCGTTAACCTGGTGTGGACTAATAATCTGATATTAAAGTCAACGCTGCAGATTAATGGGGACGAAGCTCACCAGGACAGCCATGAGGCGTGAAGATAGATTTAAAGGTGGGGGAGGTTTATATATGAAGTCTCGACGAGTTCACAGAAACTTTCATCAGTCAAAAGAAGAAAGCAGCTGGGTTAGCAAGTCAGCCTCTGCTGCTAAAGACAGCAGCTGTGCCTTTGTACACTTAATGTGTCTGAATTCAGTCAGTCTGATGTCCATACAGGTGCTCAGCAGCAGCTATGATGGTTCTTGGTTGATTGCTGGATCTGAAACTGACCTGCTTATCAGACGTGGCCGTGTTTTTATGAGCACAGAAACGTTTCTAGTTCTTTCATCAGTGTAGAGGCACCAGGATGATGAGCGCAGCCACTGCCAGCATCCTGTGTCTGAGTGTCAGCATGATGCAGACAGCCAACACCACAGGCAGCATGCTAACGCTAAGCTAAGAGCCCAGAGTGATGCTACAGCAGAGTGTGTGCTGACCCCAGACCAGCAGCCAGAGCCTTCATCAGGTAACAAAGTGACGAGCAGTCAGCCTCCGTTTCTACCTGAGACGATCAAGTGCTCAGACCTAAACACTAAGACAAACATCACATGTGTCCTCACTGGGATTTGTGTTGGTGTGTGGGACACTGAAACACCTCCAGCATGACAAACATTTGACCAGACAGCGTGCAATGAATCTGCATGATGTGACGTCTCTGATGTGCTGCTCAGAAACGGTGCAGCCTCTCACAGCAGAGGCAGCGAGAACATACAGGAGGTCTCAGTGATGGAGTTAATCACTCAGTCTGTGCCCGTCCCCAGCTGACGCTCATGTTGCTTTGGTGCTTTTTGCAGAACATTTGTGTTAAACTGATTAGACTTCATGTAAATACACACACACAGGAAGCAGGTTACAAAAGACAGAGGTGCAGCAAACTAACGGCAACAAGTGCACCACACACCAACAGTTGTGACATCATTTCTGATGTACGGGCGTCTGCAAGGAGCTCATAAAGGACTAGAGGTGATGATGATGATGATGATGACGACGTGTCAGCATCTCGTCTACTATGCAAAGATCAGAGGTGCTGATGTCTGCCATGTGCCAGCTGATTCATGCTGCTCACAGTTCAGGAGTTACAAGCTCATTCACAGTGTTCATGGTCTGATTGGATACTTCCATGGAAACGCCTCTGTGTGTGTGTGTGTGTGTGTGTGTGTGTGTGTGTGTGTGTGTGTGTGTGTGTGTGTGTGTGTGCGTGCACTGCTGTTCCATACTCATCCTTACACACTCACATACTGCATCCTGTCCCTCATCAACAACAGTGTGTGTCCTTTGTGTGCTGCAGGTGTGCACACACAGATTCAGATTCCCACGCTGCAGAGGACTGTGTGGGTGACGTGACAGCAGCTCATGTGATAATATTCTGGTTTAACATTCCCACCATCCAGTCCTGTTTCATGAAGTTAAGGCTGAGGAAGGTTAGTAGTGTATAAGCCTGCCTCTGGGGGAGAAGCTGTGGTGCAGCGGGCTGTGGAGAGTTCGTCTTTGGGTTCAGTGCTGGATCTTCTGATGCCTCTTGAGGTTGCTGGGGTGGGAGAAGCGCCGGTTGCAGACGGAGCAGCTGAAAGGTCTCTCCCCGGTGTGCACGTTGCGGTGGATATCCAGCTGGCTCTGGCATACGAAGCTTTTGCCACACAGCAGGCAGGTGTAGGGTTTCTCCCTGGTGTGCCTGGCCATGTGCTTCTGCAGGTCCGACTCCATGAAGAAGCGTTTGGTGCAGATGGTGCAGCCGTACGGACGCTCCATTGTGACGGCCTGGTAGAAGGACAGAGGGAGGGCTTTGTGTTGGACCGCAGGGTGGTGTAAAGTCAGGAGGTGCGTGTCACTGGAGGAGTTGATGCTGGAGGTTCCTGGAGGGTCATCGTGAGGAAGCACAGACCCGTCTCCGGCTGAGCACAGACCCGAGGACCGAGTCTGGGATGATATCGCGTCCTTGTGTCCGTCTCGTCCTCTGATCTGTACTCTGGTTGTCTGGACTGCATCTGACGAGTCACCCCCCTCCCCTGCGGTCTCCTTGTCCGATGCCCCTCCCCTATCAATGACGATCACTTCTGGCAGCGGGTACTTGGAGGGCTCCAATGCCGCCTGGTTATCTTTGCTGTTGTCCTCACAGGAAGCTGTACCCAGCCCGGTGTCAGCACCTTTACTCGAAGGCCGACGGTCCCCTGCTCCGGTCTGCTGCGGCTGGGAACTGTGAAAAGTGTCGCCGCCCTCAATCTCAGCCGTCCCACCGTCAACAAAGCCGACGACGCTGGATCCACTGACCTCTTTTCCCCTCAGGTTTCTGGATGTCTGGCCGTCGCTGACGCCGAGTGACGTAGCAGTGGTGGAGGCAGCATCTCGTCTCGGCAGCTTGTGGTCAACAGACCCAGCGTCCACTGCTCCCTCCACCTTGACGATCAGCAGCTCGCCCTCCCCCTCAGGCTCTGCTGACTGAGAGGACACACCCACTTTGAGAACAACACTGTTCTTCACATCATCAAACTATTTCAAATGTAATCATTACAACACACGTCCAAATAAATAGTTACATAGTAACGCGTTACATATATAAAAAACTGTTTCCATGCAGAGCAAAGCTGCAGCCTGTCTGCATGAATCCAGCTGATACTTCCACGTACCCACCGTGATGTTTTGGTTTCTGGTTTTAAAGGCCCATTTTCACAGGCAGACAGGTAACTAGACTGTGCACATTTTAAATATTAGGACTGTTTGTATTAGTTTGCAGTGAATGACGACAGTCTGAAGCCCACAGGCATCAACAAATACTGCGTTTCCTCCCTGAGACGTTGTGCTGCTTCTCTACTGTGCTGTCATCCTCCAGATATTTATGGACCCAACATTAGATTTCTTATTCACGCTCAACAACGACAAGAACACTTTTCACTTTAAATGAGGGATGCACCACATGACAGCAGCAGCTAGCTGGAGGGCTATCGTATCACGGAGGACGCTAACAGCAAAGCTGTGGACAGCAACTGAGGGTAGCTGCAAACACAAACCCTCACATATTTGGCCAGGGAAGAAATTTGGCTTGGAAAACAGAGACAAGTGAGCATTTACAGGCTTTTACTAAATGCAGACACATTAGCTCCTGTTGCTGTAGGTGTTCTTGCTACCACCTCTGAATGAAAACGCACCGGAAGAAAGACAAAGCCAATAATGTTTGTCACTGTTGTCTGTGGAAGTTACGACGTCAGACACATGCTAAGAAACATCACATCGTGAGGGGAAAGTGTTCACAGGCAGTGGACAGAAGTGTGAGTACACTCTGTTAGAGAGCGCATTAAAGCACACACACCATGAAAGAACTAAAGCACATGTGACTGTGGTCACAGACACTCACTCTATTATAGAAATGTCTACATCTGTTCTATTGTGTTCCCTGCAAGCCCAGGGAGTCCTCATAGCTCCTCCCACGACTGGAAAAACAGAGAGCGATGGAAGGAGGAGGGTGGGGGGAAGTTAGTGAATCAGGAAGTGTAGAGGAATAATAAGCAGGAAGTGAGGTCAGCTACAAGAGGATGAAGAGTGGAAATACACTTGGTCCAGATGACCTTTGCAGGTATGAAGATGTCTGTGAGAGGCTGTTGAAGCGTGGAGAAGAACTGTACTGGTACAGATCTGCCAGAACGAGGCTGATGTTCAGAGCTGCAGTAACTACAGAGGGACGATGAGCCACAGCAGGCAGATGTGGGACAGAGCTGTTGAAGCGAGGTTACAGAGATCAGTGAGCAGAAGATGTTTGCTTTGAGGGTGATGATGGAGAAGAACAGAGAAGGTCAGCTTCACTGTGTCTTTGAGGATGAGAGAAAGCAGATGACAGGCTGCTGAGAGAGGAACTGTGGTGCTGCATGGAGGTCAGCAGTGTCAGAGCAGTGTGTGAGGTGGTGCAGGACACGTACAAGGAGACGGTGGTGAGGTGTGTGGGTTACATCAGGCATCTGCTCTGAGCCTGTCCGTGCTACACCTTCATGGATCGTATGTTTTAAACGGGGGTAGAGTAACAAAGGGAGGTCTGCCGGGGCCACTGTGGTCACTCGCAGTCACAGATCCAGCCATGACCATTTAAAAACAACTTAAAACTATAAAAACTTTGTGTGACAGTCTGTAAGTGTGAACAGTTTGGACTGGTGTGTAAATGGACGTGTGTGGATGAGGATTTACCTCGGCTTTGGTGGTGGTCACAACCTCCTGATCAGGATCCTGGTCCAGACTGACGAGCTGGATCTTCTGCACAGACTGATGAGCTCCTGGCCCTCGGTTCAGAAACCTGGTCCTGCCCTGCAGAGAGGGGCCTTATGGGATACCAGAAGAATGATTAGAGGCTCATGAGTCTGATCACTCAAAATAAAGACTCATATAAACAATCAGGTGTTTAATGTCGTGCCAAACACACGTGCACGTTATGTATTAAAAAGCTGCATGTCCACAGAGTCAGAGGCTCGCCGCTCCGAGTCAGCCCTCCTTACACCGGCGGCTGATGCAGTAGACCATCATAACAGCTAAGCTGGATTTGAGCGTTTGGACAAACAGACTTCATCACAGGTGAACAGGTACAAATCACCACCTACTGACCAATCAGATCTCCAGAAAACAGCCACTCCTGGGAGATCCCTGAGACGTGTGTGCCGACAGTCTAACGCAGGGGTCCCCAATCCCAGTCCCTGAGGGCTGGTGTCCTGCAGGTTTTAGATGCATCTTTGATCCATCACAGCTGATTTAAATGGCTAAATGACCTCCTCAACATGTCTTCAGTTCTCCAGAGGCCTGGTAATGAGCCAATCATGTGATTCAGGTGTGTTGACCCAGGGTGAGATCTAAAACCTGCAGGACACCGGCCCTCGAGGACTGGGATTGGGGACCCTGCTCTAACGTCTGATATCAATTCTTAAAGGAAACTTTGTTTTCTGTTGGCTGCAAACTATTTTACAGCACGTAGTTGTAACCTGTGTGTTGTGTTTATCACTGACAGTCAAACCATCAACCAGCACTGAGGCTACAGTAGCTCCGCCCCACTCTACTGAGTGCTTTAACTGGACCAACCAATCAGCTGCTGGTACAATAACCAGCGTGACTGGTCACATGTTGTCCACACCGTAGATGAGGGAAGCCAGGGTCGTGGGTTTGTTGGGCCCTGCCCTTTTACTGCGCAGCCGCCAGTACGTATACTAGTGATGGCCAAATGAAGCTTTCTGAAGCACTGAAGCTTGTATTGAAAAACGGTTCATTACTCGAAGCTTTTCAACACAGTCCTCTCCGGTGACATCTGGTGG